GTAGAAGTACTCAGATCTTGTTCTTGAGTAAAAGTAGAAGTACTCAGATCTTGTACTTGAGTAAAAGTAGAAGTACTCAGATCTTGTACTTGAGTAAAAGTAGAAGTACTCAGATCTTGTACTTGAGTAAAAGTAGAAGTACTCAGGTCTTGCACTTGAGTAAAAGTAGAAGTACTCAGGTCTTGTACTTGAGTAAAAGTAGAAGTACTCAGGTCTTGCACTTGAGTAAAAGTAGAAGTACTCAGATCTTGGGTTTTAGGAGCTATTTTATTTACTTACTTGATAGTTGTGTACTATACAGCCAAAGATAGTAACGCAGTGAAATGAGCCAAATATATATATACACAGGGTGTTAGCTGAAGATAATCTTTTCACACCCCTCCCTGTGAGATAGTAAAAACAGATGAGTATTTAAATAGACAACTGCAGTTTAAAAACAAAGTGTAAATACATCAGGGTTACAATTTGACTAGTTACCTGAAAGAGATGGAAATGAATCTGAGTATCACAATATTAAAGTACCTTATAACCAGAGGGGGGAGAAGTACTCGGATCTTGTACTTGAGTAAAAGTAGAAGTACCAGATCTTGTACTTGAGTAAAAGTAGAAGTACTCAGATCTTGTACTTGAGTAAAAGTAGAAGTACTCAGATCTTGTACTTGAGTAAAAGTAGAAGTACCAGATCTTGTACTTGAGTAAAAGTAGAAGTACTCAGATCTTGTACTTGAGTAAAAGTAGAAGTACTCAGATCTTGTACTTGAGTAAAAGTAGAAGTACTCAGGTCTTGTACTTGAGTAAAAGTAGAAGTACTCAGGTCTTGTACTTGAGTAAAAGTAGAAGTACTCAGATCTTGTACTTGAGTAAAAGTCGAAGTACTCAGATCTTGTACTTGAGTAAAAGTAGAAGTACTCAGATCTTGTACCTGAGTAAAAGTAGAAGTACTCAGATCTTGTACTTGAGTAAAAGTAGAAGTACTCAGATCTTGTACTTGAGTAAAAGTAGAAGTACTCAGATCTTGTTCTTGAGTAAAAGTAGAAGCACTCAGATCTTGTACTTGAGTAAAAGTAGAAGTACTCAGATCTTGTACTTGAGTAAAAGTAGAAGTACCAGATCTTGTACTTGAGTAAAGTAGAAGTACTCAGATCTTGTACTTGAGTAAAAGTAGAAGTACTCAGATCTTGTACTTGAGTAAAAGTAGAAGTACCAGATCTTGTACTTGAGTAAAAGTAGAAGTACTCAGATCTTGTACTTGAGTAAAAGTAGAAGTACCAGATCTTGTACTTGAGTAAAAGTAGAAGTACTCAGATCTTGTTCTTGAGTAAAAGTAGAAGTACTCAGGTCTTGTACTTGAGTAAAAGTAGAAGTACTCAGATCTTGTACTTGAGTAGAAGTAGAAGTACTCAGATCTTGTACTTGAGTAAAAGTAGAAGTACCAGAGAGTAGGAATACTCTGTTTCAGTAAAAGTCCTGTATTCAAAATGTTCCTCAAGTAAAAGTAGAAAAGTATTCTCATCAAAATATAGTGAAAGTACAGTAAAAGTAGTCATTGTGCAGATTGGTCCATTTCAGAATAATATATATGATATGTTTTATAATGATTGATCATGAAAGTGTTCTCAAAGCTGGTAAAGGTGCAGCTAGTTTGAATGACTTTGTATACTGCAGGGTAGCTTGTGGATTTACTCCAGGTGGAACTAAAGTCTGATTTAACACTTGGTTATATTTCACATCATTCATCCACATCTGAGAAGTAACTAAAGGTATTAAATACATGTAGTGGAGGAAAAGTACACCATTTACCTCTGAACTGTAGTGGAGGAGAAGTACAAAACAAGTACCTCAAAATTGTCCTTAAGTAGAGTACTTGAGTAAATGTACTTAGTTACTTTACACCACTGCAGATTACATGTTTAAAGTGACCCTCCAAACCCTGTGTTTACCTTTCTGGAAGTTCCTGTTTAGGGCAGTCCTGGTAGTGCCGGATGAAAAACCTCTCTGCATCTTCTCTGTCTCCGTGAGACACCATGCTGCCGTTCAGCAACACCACAGAGGGCAGCCTGAAGACAGGGACATTAAAAAGTATAGAGATTAGAGAGTAGATTCATGACAATGTGAATGTAATACGTGTGAAGCTCAGACTCACTGTGCTAAGAGGAGGCTACATCTCTCCTGGTCGGTGTAAGTCTTCAGGAGAGGAATCCCCTTCACTTTCACTTCCTTCAGCTTCGGGAAGAAATTCAGCCTCTCGATGTCCGTCCATTTGCTGAGTCCTGAATAACAAAACATCAGAGTTTTATTTAGGTCACACCATGTCTCTACTGTGACATGTCTCCAAGCTTTAATGTTCAAAAAGCTCTTTATTTTTCACAAAATGATGTTAAAGGGACTTATTTTCAGGTGTATATCAGTGTGTAGTGTATCTACTTTAAAGAGTCCTCTCCTGCTGATGTTCAGGTGTGTATCAGTCTGTAGTGTCTCTACTTTAAAGAGTCCTCTCCTGCTGATGTTCAGGTGTATATCAGTATGTAGTGTCTCTACTTTAAAGAGTCCTCTCCTGCTGATGTTCAGGTGTGTATCAGTCTGTAGTGTCTCTACTTTAAAGAGTCCTCTCCTGCTGATGTTCAGGTGTATATCAGTATGTAGTGTCTCTACTTTAAAGAGTCCTCTCCTGCTGATGTTCAGGTGTATATCAGTATGTAGTGTCTCTACTTTAAAGAGTCCTCTCCTGCTGATGTTCAGGTGTATATCAGTCTGTAGTGTCTCTACTTTAAAGAGTCCTCTCCTGCTGATGTTCAGGTGTATATCAGTATGTAGTGTCTCTACTTTAAAGAGTCCTCTCCTGCTGATGTTCAGGTGTATATCAGTATGTAGTGTCTCTACTTTAAAGAGTCCTCTCCTGCTGATGTTCAGGTGTATATCAGTATGTAGTGTCTCTACTTTAAAGAGTCCTCTCCTGCTGATGTTCAGGTGTATATCAGTATGTCGTGTCTCTACTTTAAAGAGTCCTCTCCTGCTGATGTTCAGGTGTATATCAGTATGTAGTGTCTCTACTTTAAAGAGTCCTCTCCTGCTGATGTTCAGGTGTATATCAGTATGTAGTGTCTCTACTTTAAAGAGTCCTCTCCTGCTGATGTTCAGGTGTATATCAGTATGTAGTGTCTCTACTTTAAAGAGTCCTCTCCTGCTGATGTTCAGGTGTATATCAGTATGTAGTGTCTCTACTTTAAAGAGTCCTCTCCTGCTGATGTTCAGGTGTATATCAGTATGTAGTGTCTCTACTTTAAAGAGTCCTCTTCTGCTGATGTTCAGGTGTATATCAGTATGTAGTGTCTCTACTTTAAAGAGTGCTCTCCTGCTGATGTTCAGGTGTATATCAGTATGTAGTGTCTCTACTTTAAAGAGTCCTCTCCTGCTGATGTTCAGGTGTATATCAGTATGTAGTGTCTCTACTTTAAAGAGTTCTCTCCTGCTGATGTTCAGGTGTATATCAGTATGTAGTGTCTCTACTTTAAAGAGTTCTCTCCTGCTGATGTTCAGGTGTATATCAGTATGTCGTGTCTCTACTTTAAAGAGTCCTCTCCTGCTGATGTTCAGGTGTATATCAGTATGTAGTGTCTCTACTTTAAAGAGTCCTCTCCTGCTGATCTTCAGGTGTATATCAGTATGTAGTGTCTCTACTTTAAAGAGTCCTCTCCTGCTGATGTTCAGGTGTATATCAGTATGTAGTGTCTCTACTTTAAAGAGTCCTCTCCTGCTGATGTTCAGGTGTATATCAGTATGTAGTGTCTCTACTTTAAAGAGTCCTCTCCTGCTGATGTTCAGGTGTATATCAGTATGTAGTGTCTCTACTTTAAAGAGTCCTCTCCTGCTGATGTTCAGGTGTATATCAGTATGTAGTGTCTCTTCTTTAAAGAGTCCTCTCCTGCTGATGTTCAGGTGTATATCAGTATGTCGTGTCTCTACTTTAAAGAGTCCTCTCCTGCTGATGTTCAGGTGTATATCAGTATGTCGTGTCTCTACTTTAAAGAGTCCTCTGGTGCTGATGTTCAGGTGTATATCAGTATGTAGTGTCTCTACTTTAAAGAGTCCTCTCCTGCTGATGTTCAGGTGTATATCAGTATGCAGTGTCTCTACTTTAAAGAGTCCTCTCCTGCTGATGTTCAGGTGTATATCAGTATGCAGTGTCTCTACTTTAAAGAGTCCTCTACTGCTGATGTTCAGGTGTATATCAGTATGTAGTGTCTCTACTTTAAAGAGTCCTCTCCTGCTGATGTTCAGGTGTATATCAGTATGTAGGTTCTCTACTTTAAAGAGTCCTCTCCTGCTGATGTTCAGGTGTATATCAGTATGTAGTGTCTCTACTTTAAAGAGTCCTCTCCTGCTGATGTTCAGGTGTATATCAGTATGTAGTGTCTCTACTTTAAAGAGTCCTCTCCTGCTGATGTTCAGGTGTATATCAGTATGTAGTGTCTCTACTTTAAAGAGTCCTCTCCTGCTGATGTTCAGGTGTATATCAGTATGTAGTGTCTCTACTTTAAAGAGTCCTCTCCTGCTGATGTTCAGGTGTATATCAGTATGTAGTGTCTCTACTTTAAAGAGTCCTCTCCTGCTGATGTTCAGGTGTATATCAGTATGTAGTGTCTCTACTTTAAAGAGTCCTCTCCTGCTGATGACCAGGTGTATATCAGTATGTAGTGTCTCTACTTTAAAGAGTCCTCTCCTGCTGATGTTCAGGTGTATATCAGTATGTAGTGTCTCTACTTTAAAGAGTCCTCTCCTGCTGATGTTCAGGTGTATATCAGTATGTAGTGTCTCTACTTTAAAGAGTCCTCTCCTGCTGATGTTCAGGTGTATATCAGTATGTAGTGTCTCTACTTTAAGAGTCCTCTCCTGCTGATGTTCAGGTGTATATCAGTATGTAGTGTCTCTACTTTAAAGAGTCCTCTCCTGCTGATGTTCAGGTGTATATCAGTATGTAGTGTCTCTACTTTAAAGAGTCCTCTCCTGCTGATGTTCAGGTGTATATCAGTATGTAGTGTCTCTACTTTAAAGAGTCCTCTCCTGCTGATGTTCAGGTGTATATCAGTATGTAGTGTCTCTACTTTAAAGAGTCCTCTCCTGCTGATGTTCAGGTGTATATCAGTATGTAGTGTCTCTACTTTAAAGAGTCCTCTCCTGCTGATGTTCAGGTGTATATCAGTATGTAGTGTCTCTACTTTAAAGAGTCCTCTCCTGCTGATGTTCAGGTGTATATCAGTATGTAGTGTCTCTTCTTTAAACCTGAGTTGTTGAGGTTGATGCTCCTCAGATGGGGGAAAAGGCGCTGCAGAGTTTCTGGAGAGTCGCCCACACAGTCCACGCTGTTGTTGGCCAGAACCAGCGTGTTCAGACTCGGGTAAATCTGCCCAAACTTCCTGACTTCCTTCCACTCCTTCAGCTGGTTGTCTGTGATCTGCAGCAGGCGCAGAGACGGACAGGAAGTCTGCGACTCGGACACGGTGTTGAAGCCGTTCAGACACAAGAAAAGCTCCTCCAGCCTGAAGGAGGATGGGAATATGTTAGAGTTAAATACAAACAGGTACAATTTCAGCAGCACTTTAAATTCGACAAGCAGGTCAGCACCGTAGTCAAATCCTGCTTTTTTTAAATAAGACTATTGGCCAAAACCAAGTTGTATTTATCTTTTAAAGACTTGGAAAGGGTTATTAACGCCTTTGTAACCTCGAGACTGGACTATTGTAACGCTCTGTATGTGGGTATGGACCAGGCCTCAATTAAACGCCTGCAGCTAGTCCAGAACGCTGCTGCACGTCTTCTGACTGGCCACAAAAAGCGTGACCACATCACCCCTATTCTGGCCTCACTACACTGGCTTCCAGTTCGGTTCAGAATTGATTTTAAAATCCTTGTATTTGTTTTTAAAGCCCTAAATGGGCTGGCTCCGGCCTATATAGCTGAACTCCTCCAGCGCTACACCCCAGCCAGAGCTTTAAGGTCTGCTGACCAGCTGCTGCTGGTAGTGCCCAAGACCAGGCTCAAAACCCGAGGGCACCGAGCCTTCTCAGCAGCTGGCCCGAGGCTCTGGAACACTCTGCCCCTCCATGTGAGGTCGGCCCAGACCCTAGGGGGTTCTTAGATCATCACTAAAGACTCACTTCTTCTCTCTGGCCTTCTAGTCAGAGCGGAGCACGACTCCTGACTTTTCCTTGTGTTTTTGTTTTTTATATTTCTGTTGTAAATTATTGTCTTTTATTGTGATTGTAGTAATGTGTTTTTATTACATGGACAGCACTTTGGCTCGACCAAAAATCGCTTTTAAATGTGTTATATAAATAAAACTTGATTTGATTTGAGGTACAATAAAACCTTATTTAAGTTATTTCCTCCTTTCATTAAAAATGAATGAAATTGAGATATTTATACGACTATAAGAGGTTGAATACTGTATATGTCCAATAAAAGATAAAACAACTTATAATAGAGTAAGAATATGTAAATAAATATAACAGGCTAAAGCAAGAATGTGCAATTAAAATATAAAATAAAGATATGTATATAAACATAAGAGGCTAAACAAAAAATCCAATAAAGGATTAAATAAAATGCAAATATTTATTAAAACATAAGAATTTAAAGGTCACCTATCATGCTATTTTTAGGCAATAGCATAGGTCTCAGAAATATACAAATATATAAAAAACATGTCTATGAAGTGTTTTGCTCCAAACACCAAACAGATCACCCATTCTAGCCATGCCTCATATCCCTCTATTTCACTTCCTGTTTCTAAAGTGCTGATTTTATGTATAAAGCTTTAAAAGAGGAGGGGTCTGAGCTCATGCGGGACCCTGCAGCTACTGTCTAAACTAAATACTGCCGTGATGAAACACCATATCATGGATTATCAAGGATTCTCTCTGAAACAGTATGGAGCTCAAAGGCTTTCTCTCTTGCCGGTTATACCACAAGGTGAGTTCCTTTTTATTTCCTGCTTCTTCACACACATGCTCTCCAGTACAGGTTAGCTCTGAGTGTTAGCGATGCTAATGTAAACACCGACCATATTACGTCCAAAACAGTCGGGCATTGTTTCTGATAGCAACGTTTCTGATAGGGCCGTGGGTCCACATTTCAGATATTACGTCATATCGGACGCAAATCTGGATCAGCTCCGTTGTAGCCCCGTTTTTAGAGATTTAGGTACGGAGGAAAAGAGAGAGGGTTTTATTTCCTGACGCTGCGTGAGTTCCCCGACACACCGGGGACACACCGGGGACACACCGGGGACACACCGGGGACACACCGGGGACACACCGGGGACACATCTTTATGTAGAGAAGACATAAAAAAAGTGCATTTTGCATGATAGGTCCCCTTTAAATAAACAAATAAACAAAATAAGCATCAAATGTTCACTGGTCTCTTCTTACTTCACTGTCGAGCCATTTCATCAAAACACCTCAAAGACGCTTTGACAGAGAATAACACAAAAACGAAGAAAATACATAAAGAGACAAACAAAACGTAAATCAGTTACACGTCACTTACTCAGGTGTGTGTTTGGTGAGTGTGTGTACGGTGTCCCAGCTGATGTGTGTGTTGATGAGGACGAGCTGACGGACTCTGGAGAACACCTCGGCCATGCAGGGCTCCAGCTGAACGCCCATCAGAGGGTTCATGCTCAGGTTCAGGAAGTCCAGGTGGGGGATGTTGGAAACGATGGCGCAGATCTGGCAACCAACGAGTAAATAACAAAACCTGAGAGCAGTGTTTCTCAAACGTTTTCATACCAAGGACCCCCTAACCTTAGAGCAGTGTTTCTCAAACGTTTTCATACCAAGGACCCCCTAACTTTAGAGCAGTGTTTCTCAAACGTTTTCATACCAAGGACCCCCTAACCTTAGAGCAGTGTTTCTCAAACGTTTTCATACCAAGGACCCCCTAACCTTAGAGCAGTGTTTCTCAAACGTTTTCATACCAAGGACCCCCTAACTTTAGAGCAGTGTTTCTCAAACGTTTTCATACCAAGGACCCCCTAACCTTAGAGCAGTGTTTCTCAAACGTTTTCATACCAAGGACCCCCTAACCTTAGAGCAGTGTTTCTCAAACTTTACCCCCTAACTCCCCAAATATCCAGAAACAAAAAGGCCTGCTCACCACTCCAACAGTTGATGACAAATGACAGCCTAATAATGACAGCTTAGCGTGACCTACGTCGCCTCGTTCACACATTGAATCAACAATACAAATACAACTACGGATTCTACAAGCATTTCGTTCGTATGCGATTTTAAATGCTAACAGGTTTTACACCTCATATGAAATGTAGACTACATTTATTACCAGGGTCTATGCAGGAATCCTGAAATCAGATGTAAAACCTTTTAAGACCTTTTTTAAGACCCTTTCCACACATTTTAAGACCTCATCTCCACTTTGAGTTTTAACCGGTTACCTTGGCGACACACTTCACCTCACATTGACTATATACAGTATTGATTGTCCTTCCTCCTTATCTTCCAACCATTTGGACGCAGACTTGCATTTCCCCATAACGATGTTGTTTAACAACCGGCGTAAACGGACCTTCGCGTGCTATCAAGCAGTGAGCGTGATGTCCTGTTCAGATGACGTCAAACCCAACGGGATGCCATAAATAAACTACACAGAATCTCACTACACACCTACGCAATGATTACATTCAGGCACACTGTAGAATACAACCTCTTTGGACAATTTATATACTGATTGGAAACTAGCTACAAAATGTAATACCTTGGAAAATGCCGTTTAATACTTTTTAATAGCCTTCATTTTCGCTAAATTGATTGATCAACTTTTAATACTTTTTAAGACCTCGCGGACGCCCTGTTTACGGAGTTTATGTCCGAGCCAACAGACTCACAGATCGTTTTCTACTGAGATATATTCAAAAGCACAGCATGTAGTACGACACAAACCTCCGCTGTGGATTTTCTAAACTAAATACAGTAAACTGGTTGCAGGCCCAAGTTTAACATTTCAACAAGTTAATTATTTACACTGTTCCATTTATTTAGCATTGTTTACGCACTCATTGACTGCGTGTCTCTGTTGCCCCCCATACTAGTCATTTTTAAACAATTTGAAAAACACTTTGAATTTATTATTTATTCATTTAAAGTGTCACCAATATACTCACAGACCACACTTTGGGAAACACTGCCTTAGAGGAAACCTTCAGAATAAAAAGAACGTATTGTACGATCGCCCCTACCTCTTCCCAGTCTTTGAGCTGATTTTGGGACAGGTCCAGCTCGGCCACGTGAACACAGAACGCTGCGATGTCGGACCGATCTCCAGCTTTATTGATCCCAGAGTCGCTCAGAACGAGAGAACAGGGCAGGAAGAGGCGGTCTGCAAAACAAAAAGTGAGGTTTTATTCAGAGGCTTCAAACGCTCCGATTTATAGCTAATTATTAAACAGCTTAGTTGAATACTCGATTCTGATTGGTCAATATGGACATTCCAGAAGTCTGCTATTCAAAAAAGAAAGAAAGAAGAAGACAGACAGGAAGTAAACACTAAAGGGAACAGCAGAAGAAGAAAGACAGGAAGTAAACACTAAAGGGAACAGCAGAAGAAGACAGACAAGAAGTAAACACTAAAGGGAACAGCAGAAGAAGACAGACAGGAAGTAAACATTAAAGGGAACAGCAGAAGACAGACAGGAAGTACACACTAAAGGGAACAGCAGAAGAAGACAGACAGGAAGTAAACACTAAAGGGAACAGCAGAAGAAGACAGACAGGAAGTAAACACTAAAGGGAACAGCAGAAGAAGACAGACAGGAAGTAAACACTAAAGGGAACAGCAGAAGAAGACGGACAGGAAGTAAACACTAAAGGGAACAGCAGAAGAAGACAGACAGGAAGTAAACACTAAAGGGAACAGCAGAAGAAGACAGACAGGAAGTAAACACTAAAGGGAACAGTAGAAGAAGACAGACAGGAAGTAAACACTAAAGGGAACAGCAGAAGAAGACAGACAGGAAGTAAACACTAACGGCAACAGCAGAAGAAGACAGACAGGAAGTAAACACTAAAGGGAACAGCAGAAGAAGACAGACAGGAAGTAAACACTAAAGGGAACAGTAGAAGAAGACAGACAGGAAGTAAACACTAAAGGGAACAGCAGAAGAAGACAGACAGGAAGTAAACACTAAAGGGAACAGCAGAAGAAGACAGACAGGAAGTAAACACTAACGGGAACAGCAGAAGAAGACAGACAGGAAGTAAACACTAAAGGGAACAGCAGAAGAAGACAGACAGGAAGTAAACACTAAAGGGAACAGCAGAAGAAGAAAGACAGGAAGTAAACACTAAAGGGAACAGCAGAAGAAGAAAGACAGGAAGTAAAGGGAACAGCAGAAGAAGAAAGACAGGAAGTAAAGGGAACAGTAGAAGAAGACGGACAGGAAGTAAACACTAAACGGAACACCAGAAGAAGATCTATTTTCCTTCTCTCCCTTGATCCTCCTTAGCAACAGTGTGTTATGCTTAGCAACAGTGTGTTATCGAGTGTTAAACACTTCTGAATTGTCGCAATTGACCAATCAGAATCGAGCATTCAACCAAGCCGTGTAACATGATTCTCTGCCTGTTTTCACACCTTTGACGGGGGACCCTGGCAGGCTGGGCATCACCATGACTCCCTGGCCGTAGGGGAAGTTATCCGGGCTATATTTCTCGCTGAGGACTTGGACGAAGGTGCGGCTCTCCTCTTCATCAGAGGACGTCTCCATGGTGTCCATGGTCCAGGCCCTGAGAACAGAGAAACAGAGAAACAGCTGGGTCAGTTCCCTTCATCTCTCTGGTGTTTATTGATGTGGAATTATACAGAAAAGCCCAAAACATTTACCCATCTCTACACACATTTATTTCTGATTTAGTTCATAAGGCCCTCTGTTTGAATTCATTTAATGAACACTGATATGATGTGATGATGAAACATTGTCAGTCAATTTGAGAAAGCTCACTGTGTATTTTTATAACTTTTGATTTGTCTACTGCAAGTGGTCACAGTCACAGTTGTTTAAAGAATCGTCGTGGGAAAGCTACTGTTATTAAATACTGTGTACTGTTTTTATTCTCATAAAAATACCAAAATTAGACTAATTTGTCTTCCTCCTCTGACTGTGAGACTCTCTGACTGTGAGACTCTCTGACTGTGAGACTCTCTGACTGTGAGACTCACTGACTGTGAGACTCACTGACTGTGAGACTCTCTGACTGTGAGACTCACTGACTGTGAGACTCTCTGACTGTGAGACTCACTGACTGTGAGACTCACTGACTGTGAGACTCACTGACTGTGAGACTCACTGACTGTGAGACTCACTGACTGTGAGACTCTCTGACTGTGAGACTCACTGACTGTGAGACTCACTGACTGTGAGACTCTCTGACTGTGAGACTCACTGACTGTGAGACTCACTGACTGTGAGACTCACTGACTGTGAGACTCACTGAAGTGAGACTCTCTGACTGTGAGACTCACTGACTGTGAGACTCACTGACTGTGAGACTCTCTGACTGTGAGACTCTCTGACTGTGAGACTCACTGACTGTGAGACTCACTGACTGTGAGACTCTCTGACTGTGAGACTCACTGGAGACTCACCTGACTGTGAGACTCACTGACTGTGAGACCTCTACTGACTGGTGAGACTCCTCACTGACTGTGAGACTCACTGACTGTGAGACTCTCTGACTGTGAGACTCACTGACTGTGAGACTCTCTGACTGTGAGACTCACTGACTGTGAGACTCTCTGACTGTGAGACTCACTGACTGTGAGACTCTCTGACTGTGAGACTCTCTGACTGTGAGACTCACTGACTGTGAGACTCACTGACTGTGAGACTCACTGACTGTGAGACTCACTGACTGTGAGACTCACTGACTGTGAGACTCTCTGACTGTGAGACTCACCACCCAAGTAATCGTATCAATGATGTTTATGGAGTATTTAAAAACGAGTCACATATCTACAGTATTGTAATGTTTAGCAAATTAAGGCCAGTGAGGAGAAATTGTATTTTTTCCTGAACGCTAGCATCCTTTTTCAATAGTTTTCCAACCATTAACCGTTTTCAAATTGTTTCCGGTTGCTTTGAGCGACTTTAGTTCAAATTCTCGCTGGTGACGTCACTTTTCAGGCACACATTAAAACATATAACATTCATTAAATACTTCCTGTTTCTCAGGATAAATGTAGTCCTCTATGACGTAAAGCGGCGCACACACACACACACACACACACACACACACACACACACACACACACACACACACACACACACACACACACACACACACACACACACACACACACACACACACACACACACACCACACACACACACACACACACACACACACACACACACACACACACACACACACACACACACACACACACACACACACACACACACACACACACACACACACACACACACACACACACACACACACACACACACACACTGTGACAGCACTGACAGCAGCAGGTGTACAGAGACACAAACACACCTGTTCCTGCTCAAAGTCATTCTGTGTAGCCGACCAATCGATTAGTTGAATCAATAAATGAATTAGTTGTAATGTTGACAAATTAATTGATCGAGGGAAAAATAGGCCAAAATGTAGCTTCTCATATAAATACACAAGAACTAAAAACGAAGTGACAAAATACAGTGACTTGTTAAATTGAAGGCAGATTTGAAAAGAGGTAGTGTTGTATAGAAATAAGGAAAGGCTCACAGTATTAAACAGATTAAGATATTGCTGTATTCAATGTGGCATAAATATTTGGTAATGTCAGCTTTAAGTTGTTTTATCATGAAGCTTAAGAGTAGGTAAGAGTATGCAGTGATGCTATTCATTTATTCTGTTCAAGTTCTCTTTCCTGACTCAATGCATGCTGCACAAATAAATAAGTACAAAAAGACAATTGTATTTGGTTTGCTTAGTGTGTCAGCATGATTCCTGATTCGTCCCCATTTGAATAAAACTTGGTGTTAGGGTGTAGCTTTGGCCAAGGACGCCTTTTACATATTGGATTTTTATCTGAATTAAGGTGCAAATACCTGTGTTATCATTCACTTTTGGACAAAGCCTTGACTGCTCTCTCTCCATGATGATTTCTAGTGAATTATAACGACATAATTCATAACGATATAACCTCGGCCCCGGTCTCACCCCGATCAGCCCTATCAGTTTCTGATCATCTTAAACTGTGTCCGATGTTTCTGTCAGGGATCGTTTCTGATTTCACAGATTGCTACGACTCATACCTCTGATGTAGCAGAGACCAAAGGGGAGCTTGTCTTCAGCGTCACCTCCGATCACATCGTCTCCACGGCCGCTGAGAGAACTGTGGAACAAGAGGAAAAACACCAGTTCAACTGGGTTTGGGAACCAGAGGAAAGTACATAAACTGTCTTTAAGGTAAATGAAAAGACACAGAAAGATCATATTTGGAACTAAACTCATTTGAATTGGGACGAACTCTTCTTCGGTTTTCTGCACTCAACATCCACAAATATGGAAACAAAATACTTATTTGGGATGTTGAGTGTAGCTGCGAGGAAAGCAATCACAAAGAAATGGCTCAAACCAAACGGCCCATCTATAGAGGATTGGTACGATATCATTCATGACATCTTTGTAATAGAAAGAATAACCTTCTCTATGAGGAACTCGTCCCCCACTTCAAGTATCTTGGAGTCATACTGGACTCGAACTTGACTTTTAAGAAACATATCAAGAAAGTATCCAATAACGTTAAATTCAACTTGCAAAATGTTAAACAAATGAGACCTTTCTTAACTATCAATGCTGCAAAGTCATACCTCCACTGTATGATTATATCCCACATTGAATACTGTTTGACAAACGGGTCGCTTGCTTGTGCCACAAACCTGAAACCTATAGAACAGCTGAGAGAGAGAGCTATCAAGGTGTTTGACAGAGTATCTGTATTTTCACTTCATTCTGAAATGTTATTGTCTCTGCTTACTTACTTAATTTCCCTGTATGTGTACTTCTGTAAATGTTTTATTTTATTTTAAATACTATGTGCACACCTTTTTATCTCATAGTGTGTGATTTGTATTTGTAGTCTCTATCTATACTTTGCTGTAACAATGTAAACTTCCCCTCTATGGGACCAATGAAGGAATTCTGGTGCTCTGTACTGGCATCAAAATATACTTTAAGTACAAAAAGTAGTAATTTTCCAGTATGGCCTATATCAGATTTAAACATATAAAATGTTGTGTTATAATTATTAATCCATTCATGTCAGTGTTGTAAAGGTGGGATTCTTCAAATGACTTGATATACTGCTGAGTATCTTAACATATAATAATACATTATGATTTATTAGTTAATTTATATTCTGTGTTATAAATCCATACCTGGAAAGTAGCTTGTAAGTTATGGTATAAAGTAGCATAACATGAAAATACTCAAGTGAAGTACATGTACCTCAAAATGGTACTTAAGTACAGTACTAAAGTAAATGTACTTTACACCTCTGTCAATATCATATTATATTTCTCTGCTCACCAGCTACACGTCTGAGTGTTTTCTTCAGATCGTCATATATTGACCAAGCAGTTTGGTTTCATAACAAAAGTCCAACTTTAAAAATACGCTCACTACTGCCCCCGTGGTGCGACTGACAATACTGAACCAAATACAAGAACTACAGTTATACATAAAGTTAAGACTCGTCTTATATTGTTGTTTTAATGCCGAGTGAAACGGAAAGTCAGGAGGATTTAAGAAAAGTCAGAATTATAAATGTACGTGTTATATTCAGTTGCTAGAGGCTAATACAACGTTAAATTAAGAGGTTTTTAAACTGAGTTCGGCAAGGCATTATGCAAAGAAATATAGATTTACATAAAGTAACAACTCGCGTTTTAAGGTTGTTTTAATGCCGAATTAAACGTTGAATCGTGACGATTCGGGAAAAGTCAGAATTATTATTGTATTACTTATACGTTTAGTAGCATCCAATGCAACGTTACATTTAGATGGTTTTTTAACGCTGGGTAACTGGCAATAATGCTGAACTAAATAAGATAATTACAGTTTTTCATACAAAAACGACTCGCGTGTTATTACGATTTTAATGCCGAATTAAACAGCGATCCATGACGATTAGGAGAAAGTCCAAATGATTAATGTACGTCTTATATACGCCTAAGAGCATCCAATTCAACGTAACATTTAGAGGTTTTTCAACGCTGTGTAACTGGCGACAATGATTAACCAAATGTGAAAATACAGTTTTACATAAAGAAACGATCGCTTCTTATTGTTATTTTAATGCCGAATTGAAGGGCGAACCATGACGATTCAGGAAACGTCAAAAATAATAACTGTACGTGTGATATTTGCTTGCAAGGAACAAATAGAACGTTACATTTTGAGTTTTTTTCACGCTGTTAATGGCAACAATGCTGAACCAAATAACAGTTTTTCATAAAGAAACGGCTTGCGTTTTATTACTATTTTAATGCCGAATTAAACTGCAAGCCATGACGATTCGAATAAAGTCAAAAGTATAACTGTACGTGTTTTATCCACTTGCTAGTAGCTAATACAATGTTAAATTAAGAGGACGTTTTGTAACTGGCGACAATGCACAACCAAATGCAAGAATAACAGTTTTACACAAAGCAACGACTATAATTGATGTGTTGTTTTAATACCGAATTATACTGCAAATAATGCCGATTCAAGAAAAGTCAAAATGATAACTGTATGTGTTATATTCATTTGCAAAGAGCTAATACAATGTTACATTAAGAGGTTTTTCAACGGAGTTTTGCAATGCATTCTGCTCGCAAGATAAGTAGTGCAGATTTGGGGGGGGGGGGCAGCTGGTTACGAAACAGGCCTGTCTGCGAATCTCCCTCATGCAAATGTACCAACATAACATTATTAACATCGACATTTTAAAAAGAAACCATGGGAATATTATGAATTTCACATTTGAACGCTTTTAACATGACTGTCACTGCGAAATGTGTGTTTCAAGTACATGTTTTACGGAAAAATCTTTTTTTTTAGATGTAATATTGTGCTAAAGTCGATGCTTTATGATGAGTTTTAAAGCAGACATCTTATATTATTATTAATGCAGTATTTTGTCACTGATACGCTCTTGTTATGAGACCATTTCACTCACCGTCTCCGGAACCTCGATGTTTGTTTTTGTTGTTTTTCGGTTAGTTGACAGTTTAAGACCCGCCCCCTCTCCCGGATGTGACGTAGTTTAAATGTCTTGTTTTTTTCCTGTCCTTTCCTCAATGTTAAAAAAACAACACAGAAATCCACGAAATATATAAATAAATCCCACATTTCTGAGGTTTAATGTTTGAATCCAAATCATATTGACAATGTTATACTATAAATACTTATATTGTCTATATAAATATATAATAAATACCCAAATAAGGCTTGTTTACATTTGAATTTTGTGCAGAAATAGAAGGATATCCATTATTTACATTATATAAAAACATGACATCCAAAACTAATCAACCAAACGTTTATAAATATGTGCATTTTCTAGCCTTTTCAAGTAAATTGCATCGAAAAATAAGACATTTTTCCTCTTTTTTTTTATTCTGGGGGATTTTGTACAGATATGCCACATTTTATAAATGATAAACCGGGTATTTAATGCACAGATTAATTCATTTGATGCTCAAAACTCAACTCAATTTATGATCCAATTCTAACACTATGGGCCTTTCTCATTTCTCTAATTCCCCTCCTCGACTCCTCGACTCCTCCTCGACTCCTCGATTCCCCTCCTCGACTCCTATCCGTGTTCACACCGGACGCGATGCGAATATTCGCTTCGCTCTAATCGCTCGAGTGAATCTTGGACTAAATTGAATGTACAACGTTTATCAAATATTTGTATTTTATTGCAATTGCTTTTAGTTAGTGCAGAAATAGAAGTATATCAGTTAGTATAAAAGTATGAAATTAAGTATTTATCAGACAAATTGTTGTATTTTTTTGCTTGCTTTCACTTTGTAATGTTATTTATTTGTATTTAAATGTTGTTGCTGAATTTGGTTAAAACTGCTCATAGAATATGCAAAATCTTTATCTACAAGTCAAAGGAACTCAATTAGGAAAGTAAGTGCAACTGTAAGACATCATACTATAGAAATACAGTACTACCTGAAATGTATAGTATAAGTACTATACATGTGCTGCCAGCAGATGGCAGAGTTGGTGCGTACTCTTCTTTAAAGGGTAAACAAAAAAGGGAATACCATCAATTGTTTTGGAAATTGCAACATTTTAAAATACTTTGCCAAATATAAAAAGTCCTGCCTTTGCAATTATACTTTAGTTAAGTAATAAAGAGTAAAATCAGCTAAGTTAACTTAAAGTATTAGTATCACGAGTCCAAAGTCCAAAAGCAGCGACCCACCCTGGAGCACCATGGCTTCAATAATGCAACCTTTTACCCAGAAACCCAAAGTGAGAGCATAGGAACAATTGAAATCAGAAAAAGTTATTATTATTATTATTATTGGCGCATGAATCACATTTTTGAGGGCCTTAACCTGCTGCCAAAGTCGACCTTATTTTGCAGGATTGTCCGGACTGGTGAAAGGTTTGATATTTGAAGTGATCTCGTTATCGGTCGAGGCAAAAAGGCTCTATTGCCCGGTGGTAAGATTGTTAGCGTTTTATTAAAGGCATCATAAAACCCCAGATTGGCACTCGTGGGAAACTGTAAGCACACGGCGCATTAGTGAATTAGCAAGTATAAGGCATTTTAGAAGTGATTTAGACAAAGACATAATGTAAATATTGAAAATGACTTATAGCCAAAGACAAAAGATGTTACTCTTCGGTGTCAAATCCCAAATGTACAACCAATGTTTAGGCCTCTGGGTTAGGCCTACACACTCTACCTATGGGTGAGTTACAGTGATATAAAAGGTTTATTTATGGTTTATTTTAAATAAATACAGTTTGAATAACAAAATTGAATCGAACAATTTGACATTTTTCCTCTTTTATTTTTATTCTGGAGGATTTTGTGCCACATTTTATAAATGATAAACCAGGTATTTAATAGAAAGATGAATTCAGTTGATGCTCAAAACCCTGCTTTGATCGTTTTATGATAAACATTGTTTGTCTAACCCTAACCCTTAGCGTCAAGTACATTCAACATACAAAAAAAGCGACATTTGAAAAAACAAAAACTATAGATTACTTCACTGCGGAAAATGTGACACTGCTTTTGAGATAAGAAAATACTATAAATTCATAATCAGGTGACCAATAGGAAAGCAGTGTTTCCTCTAAGCCACATGTGTCAAACTCAAGGCCCGGGGGCCAAATCAGGCCCGTGGTGGATTTAATTTCGGCCCGCAGGATAACTTCTAATTACTATTAGATCTGGCCCTCCGGTATATTGCACGCACACCTTCACTCCATCCTGAGGGTCTCCTCAGCTCAGAGCCTGACCCCAAACATTGATGACCTTGCACCCAAGATGAGATGCCAAGTATCTGAACTAGCATCACAGAGCAGCACACTGAGTTCACATGTTTCCTTCTGCACTTTCTCTCGACAACAGGGCATGTTTGGTTTTCTCTTTGAGGGAAATAGTTTTGTTTAAGCTGTTGTTGGCCTGTGGGAAAATGTAATCATAAGAAATGACTCTGCAGATAGAGCCATAAGAAATTAATGCTACTGATTATTTAAAGTTTAATGTTGTTTTAATAGGCAATAATCTAAGCTTTGTTAGTTCCAGGTTTAATATGTGCAATAAATTCATTTCAGTAAATGTTGCAATAAACATTGAACCAGTCCGGCCCTCGACTAGTACCCATTTGTTTTATTTTGTCCCACTGTGCATTAGAGTTTGACCCTGCTCGAAGCTATAAAAGGAAACAGCAGCGTCACCAGCAGTGAATCAACCTGCAGACATAACCACACAAATAGGTTAATCCTCATGTTGTTACCTGCAGGGATTAACTTGTAAAAGCTCGTATGCGGACAACGACTAATGTGACAAGTCCTATGTGAGTTCAGTTTAAGAGCAAGCATTTAGTAATGTAAAGAAGACGTAAAAACAGTGAGTCAGCAGGAGAAGATATTCCAGAAACAGTCAGGAGGAGCGGCCGAAGGGTTAATCCAGAATGATCCAGTGAGTCAGAATTAGTCCAGATTAACGCAGCGACTCACCGTCTGAGAAGTGAATACAAACACAGACAGATGCATTTCAAACAAGCTGTTGCATATTTGAGAGTCTAAAACTCCGATTTGTTTCTTTAACTGGATTACCATTATTTAAACTGGGACATCACATGGCTCTGCTGAGGTCAGGCTGGCTTTGGAGACAGAGTGAGTATTTATTTATTATTTGTTTAATATATATATACCCCTAATAGTCCGACAGAGGGGACATTTACATTCTGCATTTGACCCATAGTGTTAGGAGCGCTGGGCGGCCGTTATGTTCTCACCTCTTCAGAACTGCTTTAATATGTAATTAATGTTGTGTTTTAAGTGTGTTGTTTTTATAAATGTTTACTCTTTAAAGTGTCTTTGAGTTTCAAGAAAAGCGCTCGATAGATAAAATGCACAATTATTATTATTATTATTATTATTATTATTATTATTATTATTATTATGTATGGCGCCCGGGGAATACATGATACATCCAGGATGCTTATTGGTATATGTCATTGAGGGGAAGTAAGAATTGATTGTTATGATAAAAAGCACAATTCCAATTTCTCACATTTATGGATTATTAGTTTTTTCTTATAGTTGAAAATGTTTCTTCAGGAAGCTGAACATCAGAGCGTTTGTCCATTATGTTTGACAACAACATCCTGGGTGTAACAACAACATTCCCAATAAATCAAGATGCTTTTTTGGCTCTTCTTTTTGACTCGTTCCCAATGAAAGCCTGAACTGAAGTTAAGGTTTAACGCTGTTTAAGAAGAAAGAAACAATAACTAGAGCTATCTGACCCCAGCTCCCCCTCTTTTTCTTTCCCTCGGATATCGTGAATCGTGTATATTGCTATTCTTTTGTAAATGGTGCTCCCTGACGCTCCACTGTGTCTCTCCTCCAGCTTCTGTCCTGAAACGCTGGAAGTTGAACTGGTGCGACCTTTGGATCGATGGGAGTCTTTGCTTCTATAAGAACGAGAGCAGGAGAGACCTGGAGCACCGAGTCAGCCTCAAGACAAGGTGTGTGGACGTGAGGTCAGGCCTGGAGTGTGGAGGTAAGACATGCTAACCCATACCCAGTGGTGCAGTGATGACGTATCTTTGTAGACTCTAGTAGATAGATAGTATCTTTCTGGTTCCCTCCACAACACGGCAATGGGATATTTCCTTTGGATTTCGGATTACTGCAGAAAATAATCAATGTTTATGATACTTAGACGTTTTGTTCAGCAGGATAATCTCCACATATTAACACCACTTTATGATTTCTGAAGTAAAAAGCTAATGTTGGGCTATAAAGGAACTACAGCACGGTCACATGACTTCACGTCACCACCGCTAAGCTAAAGGTGGCTAATGTTAGGCTATAAAGGAAGTACAGCACGGTCACATGACTTCACGTCACCACCGCTAAGCTAAAGGTGGCTAATGTTGGGCTATAAAGGAACTACAGCACGGTCACATGACTTCACGTCACCACCGCTAAGCTAAAGGTGGCTAATGTTGGGCTATAAAGGAACTACAGCACGGTCACATGACTTCACGTCACCACCGCTAAGCTAAAGGTGGCTAATGTTGGGCTATAAAGGAACTACAGCATGGTCACATGACTTCACGTCACCACCGCTAAGCTAAAGGTGGCTAATGTTGGGCTATAAAGGAACTACAGCACGGTCACATGACTTCACGTCACCACCGCTAAGCTAAAGGTGGCTAATGTTGGGCTATAAAGGAACTACAGCACGGTCACATGACTTCACGTCACCACCGCTAAGCTAAAGGTGGCTAATGTTGGGCTATAAAGGAACTACAGCACGGTCACATGACTTCACGTCACCACCGCTAAGCTAAAGGAGGCTAATGTTGGGCTATAAAGGAACTACAGCACGGTCACATGACTTCACGTCACCACCGCTAAGCTAAAGGTGGCTAATGTTTGGTGTGATGACCATTTGTAAATGCGCCATTTATTCACACTTTTCTCTCACAATGCAATGTACACAGAAAATGGAGCTCTAGAAAACCTTTCCAAACAACACATCTGGGACTTATCTTAATTGCACTCACTTCTGAAACCACAGTTTGATTGACATCCCATTTTCTGCAAGTATACAAAAGTTCTCATAATAATTGCACAAACAGTGTTTACTAAAAGATAAGTATGTCATGTATATAATGCATACAATTAGTATTTAGTATGGAACTGGGACACAGCTTTTGTTTGATGATTGCTCTGCAGGAGCTGTTAGCAGCGAGGCAGTCTGAGATTCATTTATAGGAACAGATTCTTCAGAACAAGACAGAACGTCACTATCCGTCTTCAAGCAAGAATAACAACGAAAAACTTAAAGGGGCCCTATTCTGCTTTATGGTGTCTTCCCTCTCCTGTAGTGTGTTTTTATAGGTTTTAGTGCATGTAAATGGTCTGCAAAGGATAAAGTCCCTGTGTTCCCTCCAGAGGCATGTTCTCTCCAACACTAACCTTTGTTTACTTCCTTAACATAATGACATCACTATGGAACACTCGCTCTCCTATTGGCTAGGGCTTCAACACCTTGTTCGTAGATAGATAGATAGATAGATAGATAGATAGATAGATAGATAGATAGATAGATAGATAGATAGATAGATAGACTTTATTGATTTATTAGGGCTAAGGGGCGGGACATCTCTAGGCGGTTAACCAATCACAACAGAGCCGGCCAGCTAACCAAGACAGAGGGTGTTCATTCTTAAACCGTACTAATATTGAATCAGTCCAGTCCTTCGTTATCATTCCAGGTACAGATATAAAGCTTTACTCTAACCCTTTAATCATTGAGACAGAACTATATATGGATGAAAAGGTCCTACAAGGTTTCACTTTTTATTAAGCAACTCTCAAAATGACCTACACTTAAGTATAAAGAGACCTCGCTCTTTCTCTGATGTTTTGAGTGATTTAACACAGATGACAACATGCATATTTTATAGTGAACTGCTCCTTTTTATAAAGTGTTGTCTCTCTCCAGGAGCGTCTCCTCCAGAGAGTAATCCCAGGGAGAACCTGATCGTGGTTCAGCTCTCTAACGGCTCCACAGTCAACCTGTGTGCTAACAGTGAGGATGAATCCATGTAGGTTTCTTCACTTCTCTCATGTCATTATTAGCTTTCAAACTAGCTTTCAAACTCTGATCAACAATTAGGACTACAGTCTATGCATTTGGTTTTCTTTGTCCTGTTCGGATTTTATGTAAAGCGTCTTTGAGCATTAGGAAACGCGCTATAAAAATCCCATGTATTATTATTATTATTATGATGTCTTCTGCTCTGCTTCACTTTACATCTTCACAGCTTATTGTGTTTCTTTCAGAGCGTGGAAACTGACTCTGCTCGACACCAGGAGAAACCCAGTGAGTTTTATTCAAATAAGAAAAAGGTCATGATCTGCTTAATGTCAGAGCTGTTATTTAAAACCGTTCTCTCTCTACAGGTGTTTCAATACGACCCATACGAAGACTCCTACGAAGCTATCCCCATCAACAGCTACCACACGGTCTACATCACACCTGGAGCAGGACCAGGTATGCTGAAATAAATAAATAAATGAAGAGACGCCTTTCAGGACATTATTTCAGAGAAAAAATAAATAGTGATAATAGTGACTGGAGAAAAGCCGGTTTATTTCGGGCTATTTATAATGGAAACTGATTATTTATTGGTTACATTAGCAATGCATGGAACAATTCGTGATCAATGAATGTGTAATATAGTCTAGTTGTTTTATATTGGTTCATATTTAGCAGGAAACAGGTAGACCTTGATCATATGCAAATGTGCCCAAAAGCAGTTTAGTCCAACACATGCCTGTCTTTAAGTTGTGGGTCATAATGCACACCAGGTAAAGGTTATATCACCTGAAATAGTAAGAGTGTATGGTGTAAGACAAGATGAAGTCATACAAAAATCTGAATTGGAAAACGTATTTTTTTTATCGTGGGAGAAATTCAGAGTTGATTTCATGGAACACATAAACATGAAATGTGTTTCCTTCAGGGACGCACCAGGTTCTGGTTCAGAGGGACCCGTTCGACGGGGTGATGGAGCGCATGGCTCTGGGTTTACTGGCTGGGATGGCAGCAGGGACGGCCATGAGGTCCTTCCTCTACATGCCCTTCTTCTTCTGCTGAAATAACCCCCTCACTAACAAGGAAACACTGCATGCACCTGTCTCTGCTTTTATATCAGATGTTTCAAATCATTTCTGCTGTAACGCTGCTCTTCTGGTTGTTCTGTCTTTATGTACACGTTAGCATTAAACGCTTGAGAAGCTGAAAATATGCTTTATAGAAACACTTAATTCCTGAGAGTAAAGAACATTGGATGTACCGATGAGCATTTGAAAACGCCATGAAATTATGTTTGTAATTCTTTAATTTGCTGCCTGAATTTTACACTGAACAGTTTGAAAACTTGTATTCTGTGCTTGTGAATACTTTGATGTATTAAACATTTAAAAAGGGACAGTTTCTAAATCATTGCCTGGTTGCATCGGACAGTGCATCTGTTCACACACACACTCTGCCATTGTTGCCTGTTCTTGTTCACAGTGTGAGTTAAGGGTCAGAAAGGCAACCTCACATCAGCTGAAGAAGACTTTGTGAAAAAGTGGATACTCAGATCTTGTACTTGAGTCAAAGTAGAAGTACTCAGATCTTGTACTTGAGTAAAAGTAGAAGTACCAGATCTTGTACTTGAGTAAAAGTAGAAGTACTCAGATCTTGTACTTGAGTAAAAGTAGAAGTACCAGATCTTGTACTTGAGTAAAAGTAGAAGTACTCAGGTCTTGTACTTGAGTAAAAGTAGAAGTACTCAGATCTTGTACTTGAGTAAAAGTAGAAGTACTCAGATCTTGTACTTGAGTAGAAGTAGAAGTACTCAGATCTTGTACTTGAGTAAAAGTAGAAGTACCAGAGTGTAGGAATACTCTGTTTCAGTAAAAGTCCTGCATTCAAAATGTTCCTCAAGTAAAAGTAGAAAAGTATTCTCATCAAAATATAGTGAAAGTACAGTAAAAGTATTCATTGTGCAGATTGGTCCATTTCAGAATAATATATATGATATGTTTTATAATGATTGATCATGAAAGTGTTCTCAAAGCTGGTAAAGGTGCAGCTAGTTTGAATGTCTTTGTATACTGCAGGGTAGCTTGTGGATTTACTCCAGGTGGAACTAAAGTCTGATTTAACACTTGATTATATTTCACATCATTCATCCACATCTGGGAAGTCACTAAAGGGATTAAAAACATGTGAAATGACTCCTTTAATGGACAGGAATGAACCCTCACTCTCAATGAAAACACATTTAAAAACGGAAACCGTGGACAAAGTATTCATCATTATTATTTATATCCAAAAAGGTAATTGCACTTAGTCAGTCAAAGCACATAAAACAGCAACAGGAGGAAAGGTGTTTTATTCTCACAGTAATGATGTTATCGCCTCAACAGACAGAGAGAGAGAAGACATGACATGAACAGGAATCTGAGGATTTCATCTTCTACAATTTAGAAAAATACCTTAAAGAAAGGTGTTCATTCTCTACATTCTAAGATTCAATATGAATTAAAAACCCCAAACTAAGTGTTAAATCATGAAACTCTTAATCACTGACACAGCTCCTCATGTCTCTAGCACAAAACCATTATTTATTACAGATGATGTCCGTCTGCTTCTTGCTTGTTGGCTTTGTTTGGCGCGTCAAAGAATATATTGATCCCAAAGCCTGCTTCTAATTAAATCATGCTAACATGCTACATGCTAATACATCCAAAGGGACTTACAGTACTTTGACTTTTTATTTTAATTTAATTATTTAATTATTATATAAGTATTTAAAATCTCACAACAGCATATTTGGCAGGTATAAATGCGTTTACATTACATTACATTTAGCTGACGCTTCTATCCAAATCACAAGAACGAAACACATGTTTGAGCATTGAAACAGGTGGATTTTCAGTCTAAGTTGGAAGAAATGTAGACGTTCTGCTGTCCTTTATATCAACGGGGAGTTGTTCCACCATTTTGGATTCAGGAGAGCAAACAGGAGAGTTTAAAACCACTCGACAAAATGAAAATCTGCCCAAAGATCGACGTCAACCCATTGAGAAACCCTATGTTAGCGATGTCTAGACTGAAGTAACTCCTACAATTAAATACAGAGTTAAATCCCAGAGGAAATGTCCGTTAAAGGGTCTTAAACATAGTGTATTCAGTGGTTGTATTGTTATGTTGTTTCTTGTCTTATTACACAAAGAAATTACCAGTTTGGACCAGTTTTACACACGTGTATAAACGTCGGCCAATTTAAAACTCACAGGTATTTTTTAATTTGGGTTATTTTTAGACCGAAGCAATCTTTTGCGAAACCAATTAAACCTAAAATACTGAGTTGAATCCCAGATAAAGGGTCTTGAACATGTCGTCTTTAGTGACTGTTTTGTTAAAAGTCTTTATCCGTGTTTATTCTCTTAATATTCGTCCTTGTTGATGTTGCCAATGGAGCTGCAGGGATGCAAGAACAATTCAGACTTGGTCCGACAATAAAGTATTATCATACCGTATTGTACCGTATCATATTGTAATGTAGTGTATCGTAGCGTACCATTCAGTACCATACCTTATCGTGTCATATGGTATTTTGTTGAGGAGTATCTAAGTTCAGCCCATTGTCTTTACAAAAATAAACATTTTTAATCACCACTTGTCTTTAAAATCACTCCTCTTTACTCCCTCTCCCCTTCCCTCTGTCCTCTCCTAACTTCCCCTCGGCCTGCAGTTTCCGGATCAGATCGTGCGGCCCCTTCCCCAGCAGGGCGGACGGGTGCCGGTACGAACCCCCCAGACGGTCCCACAGCGTGAAGTACTGCCCGTAGTTGTAGTCGAAGAACAGGTGGTGGTCTGTGTGGTGCGCCGACCCGTTGATGGCGGGGGTGATAGCGAGGGGGATCCGGTAGTCCCCGTCGTGGATGGAGATGGTCCAGATGTTGACGAAGACGTAGAGGCCGAGGTAGAGGACCTTGTGAAGCGGGAACATAAACGGGTAGATGTGGTACGGGAGGCCCTGCATGAAGCCGTCCACCGGGTGGAAAGCGTGGCTGGCGAACGGAGACGGGATCTTCCAGACGTGGTGAGGCTTGTGGAACAGCTGCGAGAAGAGATTCAGAAGAGTCAAGGTTCAGTGAAGTTGTTGGTAATTTACAGTAATAATAAAGACATATTCAGATCATGTTGAGGTTCATATCAGTATGTAGTGTCTCTACTTTAAAGAGTCCTCTCCTGCTGATGTTCAGGTGTATATCAGTATGTAGTGTCTCTACTTTAAAGAGTCCTCTCCTGCTGATGTTCAGGTGTATATCAGTATGTAGTGTCTCTACTTTAAAGAGTCCTCTCCTGCTGATGTTCAGGTGTATATCAGTATGTAGTGTCTCTACTTTAAAGAGTCCTCTCCTGCTGATGTTCAGGTGTGTATCAGTTTGTAGTGTCTCTACTTTAAAGAGTCCTCTCCTGCTGATGTTCAGGTGTATATCAGTATGTAGTGTCTCTACTTTAAAGAGTCCTCTCCTGCTGATGTTCAGGTGTATATCAGTATGTAGTGTCTCTACTTTAAAGAGTCCTCTCCTGCTGATGTTCAGGTGTATATCAGTATGTAGTGTCTCTACTTTAAAGAGTCCTCTCCTGCTGATGTTCAGGTGTATATCAGTATGTAGTGTCTCTACTTTAAAGAGTCCTCTCCTGCTGATGTTCAGGTGTATATCAGTATGTAGTGTCTCTACTTTAAAGAGTGCTCTCCTGCTGATGTTCAGGTGTATATCAGTATGTAGTGTCTCTACTTTAAAGAGTCCTCTCCTGCTGATGTTCAGGTGTATATCAGTATGTAGTGTCTCTACTTTAAAGAGTCCTCTCCTGCTGATGTTCAGGTGTATATCAGTATGTAGTGTCTCTACTTTAAAGAGTCCTCTCCTGCTGATGTTCAGGTGTATATCAGTATGTAGTGTCTCTACTTTAAAGAGTGCTCTCCTGCTGATGTTCAGGTGTATATCAGTATGTAGTGTCTCTACTTTAAAGAGTGCTCTCCTGCTGATGTTCAGGTGTATATCAGTATGTAGTGTCTCTACTTTAAAGAGTCCTCTCCTGCTGATGTTCAGGTGTATATCAGTATGTAGTGTCTCTACTTTAAAGAGTCCTCTCCTGCTGATGTTCAGGTGTATATCAGTATGTAGTGTCTCTACTTTAAAGAGTCCTCTCCTGCTGATGTTCAGGTGTATATCAGTATGTAGTGTCTCTACTTTAAAGAGTCCTCTCCTGCTGATGTTCAGGTGTATATCAGTATGTAGTGTCTCTACTTTAAAGAGTCCTCTCCTGCTGATGTTCAGGTGTATATCAGTATGTAGTGTCTCTACTTTAAAGAGTCCTCTCCTGCTGATGTTCAGGTGTATATCAGTATGTAGTGTCTCTACTTTAAAGAGTCCTCTCCTGCTGATGTTCAGTGTATATCAGTATGTAGTGTCTCTACTTTAAAGAGTCCTCTCCTGCTGATGTTCAGGTGTATATCAGTATGTAGTGTCTCTACTTTAAAGAGTCCTCTCCTGCTGATGTTCAGGTGTATATCAGTATGTAGTGTCTCTACTTTAAAGAGTCCTCTCCTGCTGATGTTCAGGTGTATATCAGTATGTAGTGTCTCTACTGGGACATGTCTCCATGCTTTCATGTTCAAAAAGCAACCTCTCCCCGTCACCAAGCAAAACACAAACACTGGCAACTTTCATCGGTGCATGTCAGCTTATCTAACTGGCCGCTGCATCCCTAAACGTGACTCAATGGTGCCAGTGAAATGCAAAAATAGTGTGCAGTGGAATAAAATATTGCTAATGATAGATAAATATGTGAACTGTAAACAGATGAACTGTGTGTGCTGCAAAACCAAATGAAGGTGAAGACACTTCACACAGCTCAGTTGGTCATATTGTGTCGAATGAGTTAGGTGTTGATGTTAAATGCATTGTGTAGCCTGCAGGAGAGATGAGCCAAACAGAAACTACACCTGTCCTCACCTTGTAAATGAGCCGGTGGTGCAGGAAGCGGTGAATCCAGTAAATGCACATATCAGTGAAGAGGAGGAAGGAGATCATACTGAGGAAGAGCCCGGGCCAGCCTGAGAGCAAACATGTCACACACCATGTCACACACACACCATATCACACACCATGTCACACACACACCATGTCACACACACCATATCACACACCATATCACACACCATGTCACACACACACCATGTCACACACCATGTCACACACACCATATCACACACCATGTCACACACCATGTCACACACACACCATGTCACACACCATGTCACACACACACCATGTCACACACACCATATCACACACCATATCACACACCATGTCACACACACCATATCACACACCATATCACACACCATATCACACACCATGTCACACACACACCATGTCACACACCATGTCACACACCATGTCACACACCATGTCACACACACCATATCACACACCATATCACACACCATGTCACACACCATGTCACACACACCATATCACACACATACCATGTCACACACACACCATATCACACACACACCATATCACACACCATATCACACACATACCATGTCACACACACACCATATCACACACCATATCACACACATACCATATCACACACACACCATATCACACACCATATCACACACATACCATGTCACACACACACACCATATCACACACCATGTCATATCACACACCATATCACACACCATGTCATATCACACACCATATCACACACCATATCACACACACCATATCACACACCATATCACACACTATGTCATATCACACACCATATCACACACCATATCACACACACACCATATCACACACCATATCACACACCATGTCACACACACACCATATCACACACCATATCACACACCATGTCATATCACACACCATATCACACACCATATCACACACACACCATATCACACACCATATCACACACACCATGTCACACACATACCATATCACACACCATATCACACACCATATCACACACACACACCATATCACACACCATATCACACACATACCATGTCACACACACACCATATCACACACCATATCACACACCATATCACACACACACCATATCACACACCATATCACACACCATATCACACACCATGTCATATCACACACCATATCACACACCATATCACACACCATATCACACACCATGTCACACACATACCATATCACACACCATATCACACACCATATCACACACACACACCATATCACACACCATATCACACACATACCATGTCACACACACACCATATCACACACCATGTCACACACACACCATATCACACACCATGTCACACACACACCATATCACACACACACCATATCACACACATACCATATCACACACCATGTCACACACACACCATATCACACACCATGTCACACACACACCATATCACACACCATGTCACACACACACCATATCACACACCATGTCACACACACACCATATCACACACCATATCACACACCATGTCACACACACACCATATCACACACCATGTCACACACCACACCATATCACACACCATGTCACAGACCATGTCACACATACCATATCACACACCATGTCACACACACCATATCACACACCATATCACACACCATGTCACACACACCATATCACACACCATGTCACACACACACCATATCACACACCACTGAAAACAGGTTACATTCAGGGTGTTTAAATGTACTGGAAGATGGTCAAATCTTTTTCTCCCACTCACCCAGCGGAGAGTCGTGGACGTTGTCGTACAGTTTGCTGTACCCTCGGACTTCATAGAAAAACAGAGCCACAGTGGGGATGCTGATCACAGGAAGTGAGGTCATCGCGTATTTGATCTCTCTCCGAACCTGATTCTGAGGGGGATTGAAAATAAAATAATAATTTGTTAACTCAATAAATAACAGAGGCAGAAGTCACTCCTCTATCTATGTTATTATGGATTTATTGGCACTTGACAATGAAGACAAATCCAGAATAATGCAAGCCTTAACTTTTCTCTTCCAAATCAATGTGTACCTTGACCTTACTGCGTCACAACAACTCGTTATATTTCAATATGAACTGATCTCACTTAAGGTCTGAGTATTCTTCAAACAACGTGCTTTTATGGCCTGCTTTTCAGCTTTTGCCAGGTGTGCAGATGAGTGCCAGTGGGCCGAGTTTCAACTTCCTTCTCTAGGGATCCATTTTATATTCGCAAAACTATTTAATGCATTTCGTTCTTCTTACATTTAGCTGAGACTTTTATCCAAAGCTACGTACAAGAAGAACATTCAACCCAACACATAGTCCAGAATAATGTAGGTAAATTAAATTAATCAAATACGCTGATCTAGTTTAGCTGACCGGCTCTGTTGTGATTGGTCAACCGCTTAGAGATGTCCCGCCCCTTAGCCTATCAGGTACAATGTGTTGGAGCGCTAGCCAATAGCAGCGCGGGTGTTCCCCAGTGATGTCACTATGTTCTGGAAGTAAACAAAGGAGTCCAATGGAGGCGTTTTATTGTACGGGCTCTTTACCTCGAGGAACTGTGGGTGTTTCATGAGATTGTGGTCGAAGATGAAGAAGTAGCTGATGGCCCCGAGGCCCAGGTAGAGGACGGCGGCCCCCAGGTTGGTGAGCACCAGCAGGCTGAGGATCTGCCTCAGAGCGCCCTCCTCAGGCCAGGAGGCTGGGAACACGTAGGGGGTGAGGACGTAATGATCCGCAACATTCAGCACAAGATCCATGGTGAGATCTGTAACGAGAGAAAGAGAGCACACACTTTAAAAGATGTTGAGGACACTACATTTCCCAGAAAGCACTGCTGTTAGTTTGAATTGAATTTGTTGATGAGAAATGATACCTGGGTTCAGTCCATTCAATATTTTTACACCAATTATCAGATGTTTTTAGGTTTTAAAGATAGCAGATCAACTGTATTTTGTTACCAGTTGAAAGACATAATGAGCTAACTTTAATAATCAGAATAATCTTTGTTATAAAACAAACCTTTATCTACATGTCAGTAAAAGACTAGGTTTTATTACAGCTTATAGCTTATAAAATATGTCTTTATATGTATTAAACTGAACAAACTCCATCTGCTGTTGACACAAATAAGATAAGTGGACCTGAATTGAGACTTTCTAAAATGTATTTTAAAGAATACATGTCTTAACATGTATTAAAAGAGAGAAATGCTAGATTTCTACATAGATTTGAGATCTAAAAGTCATAGCCAAATAAAAAGGCCAACTGCTTTGCAAAACTTTCCACTCTGTCTTCTTCAGTGCAATTATACTGTTACATGTATTAACAATTGCAAACCCTCTTGTTAAGGATTTCTCTGGATATGGAATATATTTTATTAGCAAATCATATCAAGACGATAATAATCATTATAAAAATAACAATACAATAAATCTTGTATTATTATTAAATGTATTAAAAAAAACAAGACATGTCATTGTTTCCTATGCACACACTTCTTGTGAAGTTAAATATAGCATTTTGTCTTGATCCAAACACGTTGACACCTTCCTTTAAAACTGTGAATGTTTCTCTAACACAAGCATTGATACAACTAATATAAAATGATGTGTGTACTGTATTTATTGTGTATGCTGGTTCTGATTTATTGTGCAGATGGACTTGACTTCTGGATTTGGCATCTGATCCCTGGAAAGTGACCATTTTCCAACACTTCACAATTGTATCACACAATGCAAGCGATTAATACAATATATACAACACATTTTAAAGACACAAACCATATAAAATACACCCAAATACACATTGATTATCTGCAGGAGCAGCTACATTACATCTGTGACTGATATCATATTTTATGTAACGTTATTCCTGACTCACCGTTACGTAAAGGTAAATATATGTATTTTATAAGCATTAACGAACACCACGTGGTATTAAAAGGTTATTAATAAAGTGCACTGTCTTTATTTTAATGTATATAAAGTTAAATTCGCACTGTACCTTGTGTTTGTTGCTCGTATTCCGGTACAACAGTGAAGAGGATATGCACTAAGGTAAAAGCGAGCAGGCGACCAATCACAGCGGAGTTTACCTTTACGTCATATAAGTGGCGTCCAATCAGCGCGCAGTTCCTCATCACGGCAGGCTTGTTATGGTTTCTGATTGGCCCACTGGTGGATCTGATCATGGTGCTACAGAAACAGCTGGAGCAGAGGCCGAAACGCCCACAGATTGTTATAGAAACGCAGGTTAATGTTCCTTAATATGTGTTTTTATTATCTTTAAATACATTTATAGCATTAATTATAATGTGCTACTGGCTAAAATAAAACACAAATGCACTCAATGCTCGATTTTTAACCAAACTTCCTTTACAAACGTATGATTTTTCGGTTCTCTCAGGTTAATCTGGATCGAAATAACCTTTATTTAACAAACAAATGATGTCAATGTAAGTGTTATGTGCACCTCTTTAATTCGGCCGATTCATTTTTTAGGTTATTCTTTATTTTTGACAACATTATTCTGGTATTTCCAGTCTCATTTGTGTTTATGTAACTTGTTTGCTTGTTGAAAGGTGATGTAATTTCCTTTCTTAACGTTATTATTGAGTCATTGCAATGCAGAATATTCCAGAACAGGCTTATTAATTGAAAACACATCATTTTAATGTATTTAGATTGGGGATTCTTAACAAATTAGCAAGACTAAACTACTTTTGCATGATTTCTGAAAGAAGTTTGGTCGCACTGTTTCAACACTACGTTTGCCTGTTAGAAAGGTGATGTAATGTCCTTTTTATAACGTTATTATTTAATCATTGCATTACCGAATTTTCCAGAATATGTTTCGTGATTGCAGAAGCGTACTATTAAGTTATTTAAGTAATGTTTTTTTTTAGCAAATCAGCTTGGAAAAAAGATTTTTGACAGATTTCTGAATGAAGTTTGGCACATAAATGCTACACTATAGGCTTTATTGCCAAGTAGGTTCGTTTACACATACGAGGAATTTGTCTTGGTATTCATGGTGCATACATAAAGACAGTTAAAGATACAAACTAAGAAAAAACACCCAAACTATTAAACGTTAAGATATAGAAATGTATTATAGAAGTTGGCTAATGTTATTTGCATCTACAAAGTTTAACAGTTGGATTAATGGCAGATAAAAACAAATTGCTTCCACTGTGATGTAAAACTGGAACAACCACAGGGTGTCGCCATCGCTCTAAAGACCTGGAGGATCTGATACTGTAACACAGCTCAATACACTGATTCATACATGATTATTATAGTCATACCACTGGAGGAGAGCTAATTAAACTCCTACATAATTCAGTATTAGAACCACCTACAGTATAATAGCCTCCTATATTAAGCTACAGGTCATATGGGGATATCACAGCAGTGGAAAGTTCTGCTTTATTCTATAGAAGATGTATTTGACATATCGCCTCAGATCATAGATATGTTAGTAGCCAGAATGAATTATATGCTTTATTCAGTGGGTAACTGTCCATTTGATTTCCAATAATCTTCTACCAGAAGCTTTCAGAAAATTATTTGGCCCTTTTTTATAGCATGTTAGCTCTTGTTTTTGTTGTTGTTTGTTTCCCATCCCTCCTCTTTTTAATTCTTAGCTGTTAAAAAGCCTTTTTCAGTTTTCTTTCTGATCCATTTTCATTACAATGCTTTACCACATTACCACTTTTTCCACGCCCTGCAAATAAAAAATGCTTTGATTTTCCGTTCCAATTCAGAGATGAGTGTTACAATAATTTATCAAGACTTTCCAAAAAGCATCTTTGGAAAATACATATGTTTATTAAAGGTTTAAAATCTATATAACACACTACAGGAAAGAGAAAACACCAACAAGCAGAATAGGGCCTCTTTGTATGAGTAAAAAACTCTCTTTCTTTGAAGTCATTTTATTGTGAAAGCTGGAGTGTAGGCGTCTCTTCTTTAGTATAAAGTTTGCATTTTGAGCACTCAAAGTGTCTCTCAGGCAGTGAAGGCATCTCCCTCTGAGTGCAGACTCACGTCGACCAATCAGGATCTCTGCAGAGAGACTCCGCACCCTGCTGAGAGCAGATAACCCGCTGCTCATCATCTCCTCAGAAGGCAACAACACTCGATCTGTCACTTTGGGAAATGTAATCAAAAAACTGCAGAAACTTGTCACAACTTCTGACGCCTTCAGATTCCTGATTATCTCGTCACCACCGCTGATGGCACTAACTTGAACATAACCTCTCTGACATTTTGTATATACGGTATATCTAGCCGACTAACAATGGAACCCATATGTCTTTTAATTTCTGCACTATTATACAAACCCTTATTATTGGGTTATGTTGCAGGTACTGATTTACCGAGTTAAAAATACCCACTTTAATGTGCACCTGGAGAAACATGCAGAACAATCCACAGTCACTTTTGCAGAGGGTAACGTAAAAAAATAAACCTTAATATTAAGTATGATATTAGTATTTGTTTGTACATTCAACAGATAGTATTGAACATGCTAACTGTGACCATTTTCTTTGTGGCTTTATTTATTTTTATTTGGTTGTTGCATTTGCCAAATTTTGTAGCTTTTTCAATCGATTAATTTAGTGTCTTTTTGGTGTTTTTTGGTGCCTATGGATTTATTGTTGAAGTGTTTTATTTACTTAGATTGTTAACGAGGTCTCTTCTAAACCTCTGTCACAGTAATGTTTCCTTGTTTCCAAATCGTATTAATCACATCAGTGTCATCAAACACATGTCAGACGATTTACAAATAAAATGACCAAAGCGCTTATGAACAGACATTACCCTTTAGTTTTACCCACAAAGATTCATCAACTTAACGTGTCCAGCGGCTCCCATCTGTAAATTGATGTTGTCTCATGGGCACATTGACAACACCATATTTCATATTGGCGTATCAAAGTGTTCCTCACCTCCTCTTTGGGTTTGTTTGGTGCCCAGCTGCTGTTTGTTCAGTCAGTTCGGGGCCGGGCTGCATCTGCTCATAAATAACAGTCTCATAACATTTCATGGAAAGAGAATTAACTTTGAAATTAGATTATGTTGTATGAATACTGCAAACATCATTTACCTCCACCCTGAATGGATTTATGTGACAAAAAGCACAACTTTACTGCTGTCACTCGAGATGCTCAGGTAATGTTTTGTAATCGTATATTAGAAAGCAGAATTAACTGCAACTTTGAGGGGGAAAACACAGTAATGCCAAACACAGCAAGCATTAACAAACCTTCTTAGGTTAAGGTCAGAATGATAAGAAAAAAAGTGACAATTCTGAGAAATAGTAAACATTTTGAGAAAAAGTGAAAATTATTTTTAAAGAATCTCAGAAAAAGTGAAAATTCTGACGAAAGGCGAATATTCGAAAAAAGTAAAAATTCTGAACAAATTGAAAAGAAAGGTATTTTTAAAAAGTCAACATTTAGAAAAAAAGTAAAAATTCTGATAAAAAAGTTGGAATTCTGAAAAAATAGAAATTCTGATAAAATAAAGAAATCTGAAAAATAATCATAATTCTGAGGAAAAAATAGAACTTCTTCAAAAAATTCTAAATTCTTATACAGTAAAAGGGAAAATGTTGAAAAAAGTCACAATTGGGGAAAAAGTCAAATTGGGGAAAAAGTCATAATTCTGAGAAAAAGTCATAATTCGGAAATAAGTCAAAAATGGGAAAAAAAAGTCAAAATTGGGTACTAAGTCATAGTTCTGAGAAAAGTAAAAATTCTGGAAAAAGTCAAATTCGGGAAAAAGTCATTTGGAGAAAAAGTCATAATTCGGAACATTCTAAGAAGTCAAAAATCTGAAAAAAATTGAAAACAAAAAAAAGTAAATCTGGATGTAAGAAACGTGTTATAAATATTTGTTTCCATTCCGACCACCGACCGTAAATCTGTTAATGCTATAAAACACTTTGATTCCCTCTGCAAGAGATGAAACTCTACCTGCTTTCTGTCCATTTCTATTTACTCTAGCATTCATTCCATTTAAATGTAATGCAACGCTTCTTGAGAAACTTCACTGAAAAGCACAAATGTCCGCCTGCTCCTGCTGCTGGCTCTAAAGGAAAGGTCAGGAGGTCACCATCCAGGAAACAACAAGTGGGTAGCAATCTTTATATATAGAGTCTATGGTATCAATCCATCTTGCAGAAGTTGAGATGTTTCACAGGATAAGTGCTCGAGGCACTAAATCAAATGTCACGGGATCACCAGAGTTGGTAGGATCCATCCTAAAGAGTTTCTGAATGTCTTCACAATATGTCATGGCAATAAATCCAAAGGTTGTTGACCCATTTCAGTCAGGACCAGTGGACTGCATTCACCGTCAAATACAGGTAACAAACAATATTTACAGATGTCCATAGAATGGTGCAGTGATGACGTATTGGAAGTTAGCATTGCAAGGTTTCCCTCAACTGAAAGCCAATGGGATTTTTCCATTGGATTTTGGATTATTACAGAAAATAATCTCTGTGTCAAACAAACGTTTATGATACTGACACGTTTAGTTCAGCAGGATAATCTCCACATATTGACCCCACTTTATGATTTCTGAAGTAAAAATCTAACATTATGCTATAAACCGCTAAGCTAAAGGAGGCTAATGTTGGGCTATAAAGGAACTACAGCACGGTCATATGACTTCACGTCACCACCGCTAAGCTAAAGGAGGCTAATGTTGGGCTATAAAGGAACTACAGCACGGTCACATGACTTCACGTCACCACCGCTAAGCTAAAGGAGGCTAATGTTGGGCTATAAAGGAACTACAGCACGGTCACATGACTTCACGTCTCCACCGCTAAGCTAAAGGTGGCTAATGTTGGGCTATAAAGGAACTACAGCACGGTCACATGACTTCACGTCACCACCGCTAAGCTAAAGGAGGCTAATGTTGGGCTATAAAGCAGGGTTGCCAACTCTCACGCATCTGGCGTGTGACACACGCTTTCACTCTCAATCTCACGCTCTCACGCTGCCCAAACTATTCTCACGCCAAAAACAAGAATACGAAGACTAGA